AGGAGTAGTGGTGTAGTTTTGTTGTACAACTCATCTTGATGTCTCAACCAGCTTGTGCAGTCTTTGTGTTGTTGTTTTTAGTTGTTAGGCTAACTTTTTTATTGCTTTGTTTGTTGTAGTTGATCAACATTTTGAGGTCTAGTCGCTCTATTGTATTTGGTTGTTTTTACCTAGTTTGGGCATATCTTATTTTTAATATAATCGGCAGCTCTTCTCCCTGGTTCATTCAAAAAAGCAAAAAGACATAGCACACTAGGAAATTGTGAAACATACACATAAATGGTATGATAAACAAATTCATAATGTAAGCTTCCTCCTAACAGTGTAGAACATTACTTGTGATGCAAAGAAAAGTGAAACAACAACCCAAGACAAAAGACCAGTAATACTAGTGATACTAGAAAAAACTAGGTGATGCATGGATTTTATTTGGGTCAGATGATAAACAAAGATGCCTAATTCGGACATAAACACCAAAAACTCCCAAACAATGCTCACCAAATACCTTATGAGGTCAATAATGAAGGGAGCAATTGCAGCTTATATTCTCATTGATACTTCCATCAAGACAATTTATATCCAATGGATAAAATTTGCATATGCTACCTTTCACCTCTGTATTTTACATCGATTGTCGTTGGACCCTATCTTGGACAGTAAAAACATTTTACACTTGTTCTCCTAAACCACAGCTGCTCAACTAATTATGTATATATGCAGATCTCACACCAAAGACACCAGGAGAACAAGTGAATTGTCTAACAAAGATGCAAAGTGTTGTGACAAAAAAAAGGATGGGTAACATGATATAGTTTTCTCTTGAACGCAAACTACATAGGGGAGAGATTCCTGCTGGATATATTGATTTGTCATCAACAGCTTGGTTTTAGGGAACAAAGCGAAAACTCGTCGTCCGGTTAATTCGGAAAACCGGACTAAAACCAAAACAAAGAGCCCCAACATAAGGGCTAGATTGTGGCATGTCTACAAATACAACAAAAAGAGAGAAAAAGAAAAAACTACAGCACCAAGGCATAGGGACTCTTTGACGATGCCTCCAAGGAGGAAGATGATGTCGCAATGTAATCATCGTCAGCCAAGCAACAAGAGGCGATGCTACAGGAGCTTGGCAAGGCTTTCGCCCGAGCCTTGTGCCGAGGGGTTGAAACGGGCCGACCATGGTGAAGTAGCGCACAAGATATTCTTGATGAGGTCTTCAAAATGGAGATCATAGTCGCTGGCCTTGGTGTAACAAACAAACCGTTTGACATAAAACAACATCTTGAGAAAAGAACAACACAAGCTCAAATCTCCAAGCAAATGGTGCAACAACACTACTAAAAAGTCACACACACACACACACACACACACACACACACACACACACACACACACACACACACACACACACACACACACACACACACACACACACACAACACGCCACAGCAGCACAGTGCGTGCACACACACGCACACGCACAACACACACACGCGCGCCCCTTGCTGGAGGTCTATCACCTTCTTTCGCATGTTGTTGCTCCACGGTCCACAGCCATCCCCGCTGGGTGGTGGCTGCTGCTCTGCGGCGGTGGAGGCGGCAGAGCAATCGACACCTTTGGCATCATTGTTGTTGCTCCACGGTCCAAGAACAAACCTCTTTGGTATCCCGCTTGTTGTCCTCCTTGTTGTGGTAGAAAAGGCGGTAGATACCCTAGCAAACAATGACCATCACTGCGAGGGAGGTGCTGAACAATGCCTGGTACGGTTTTTGGTCTCACGCGGCCAAGATGACCATGGTGGGATGTCGGAGTCCTGTCCCAGCAGCTCCTGCCAGTTGCCCGCCAAGGGCACGGTTGCCCACAGGTCGACGAGACGCTGGCGTCTCCCCCGCTTGCAGCCATGAGCCGAAGAAGGGCATTCGGCCATCAATTGGTCGAGCAGAGGAAATGGCCACGCAGATTGAGGTCCTCGATAATCTTGCAACAACGAGTTTGATCAATCAATCAAGAACATAGTTTATATATATGAAAAGCTTACCATTTCTGAAAATATGAAGAAATTTTTTTCCACATTCACCACACAGTGCGCCAAACACACTACCAGAAAACAGAGATTTCCTGAAGGGAACATTTTTTCCATGAGAGTGCAAAGCATACTCTCATGAAAATAATCTTTTTCATGAGGGCGTTGTAAATTCCGTCGCGAAAACTCATTTTCATGAGAGTGCTTCACATACTGTCATGAAATCAGTTGTTTTTCATGAGAGTGCTCCACGCACCGCCACGAAAATGACTATCCCTCCACGAAATTGTCTATTTTCATGAGAGCGATCATTTTCGTGAGAAGCAACTTGCCCGTCCACGAAATATGGTTTGCTAGTTTTCAGTAGAAAAAATAAATTGCTTAAATCTTTGGAAAATCAAGAACATGAACAAAAGTTTTCTCCTTTTTAATCTGCAGTGTAATTTTTGTAACTAGTCTTTCTCCGTCGTGCTAATTTGTAAACATACCTAATTTAGTTTAAGGAGTGCCCAAAGCATATAAAAACATTCCATCTTGAGACATTTACTTAGGAAATTAAGAGTATCATGGTTCCATTTTTGCATGCATAATTATTTGTTATTTAGTTTATTACTACTATTTCTGTCTGTACGATGGTTCGCATTCTAGGAAATCATATTGAAAATGGTAATATTTAATACAGTACAATTCCTGAAATATCAAGGTCAATGTAGTACATGAAGAAATATGCTAAATATCTGCTAAAAGAATTTTGTTGGGAGAAATCTAACAAATTCCTTCCCAAAGAATTCAATGGGAGATTCTTGCAGCCTTCTTCTCTGGTGAGCTATGAGCTATCCTTTTTCTCTGACGAGGACCAACTTCGGCGGACTTGGCTCTAGTTAGGGGTGTTAGGGTTTTGGGAGTATGACGAGAGGGTGGGGGATTTTGTGGCTTCCCGGCTAATAGAGTGTTGCTAGGGGAGGCTGCCAGCCTAGCAGAGGCATGGCGGGTGGCTGAAGGGATGGCTGCTGATGTGGTCGAAGGAAGTTGGGCAATGCCGGCACCGGCGCCGAGGCTGCCTTTGTTCGAGTGGTTAGGGTTTGCGGTGGTGGAGGTGGTGGTGGTGCTGCTGGAGGTGAACAGCGATGTACAGGAGGTGGTGGAGCGCAGCATGAAACAACGACTTCTCGATGGATTTGCTTGGGAGCGTGGTAGCGGGGCATGGGCTTCGGCGGCTAGAGGCGGAGGAGGCCGGGGCGAGGAACAAATGGAGAAAGAAGTGGCAATAGTGGATTGGGTGGCTCTGTGGCTACGGGAAGAAAAAGGAAAAAGGTAAGGTTGGAGAAGGAGATCCAGACCATAAAATTCATATCCAATGGTTAAAAATCCAACAGATCTTTTTCCAACAAAAATCCATCATATGACATGTAAACGGCCGCTTTTCTTAAAGTGAAATGTTGGATATGCATACCACACAAAACACATGCTGACCAGTGAATGCACAACAATGTGTTATGTAACCACATTTAATTTCACGTTTTTATAGTTAAGATTAGAATATATTTTTAATTCTCACAAAATAATTGCAAAAGTAATAATTTGAATCATTAAAGAAAAACATATATATAAAAGAAAATAATACAGTCACACACACACACACACACACACACACACGCAGACGCACACGCGCACACGCACACACACACACCGCTGCCGCGAAGGTCTGTCACCTTCTTCGCCGCTGTTGCTCTGCGGTCCACAGCCATCCCCGCTTTCGGGTGGCTGCTGCTCCTGCAGCGGTGGCCGCAGCAGAGCACTGACACGTTCAGCATCGTCATTGTTGCTCCACGGTCCAAGAACAAAACTGCTGGTATCCTGCTCGTTGTCCTCCTTGTCGCGGCAGAAACGGCGGTGGACACCCCAGCAAACAATGACCATCACCGCGAGGGAGGCGTCGGAGGACACCTGGTTTTTGGTCTCACGTAGCCATGATGACCATGGTGGGATGCCGGAGTCCTGTCCCAACGGCTCCTGCCAGTTGCCCGCCAAGGGCGCGGTTGCCCACAGGTCGACGAGACGCTGGCATCCTCCCGCTGCAGCCGCAGCCAGTAAGGGCATTCTGGCCATCAATTGATCAGGCAGAGGAAACGGCCACGCAGATTGAGATTGTCATACAGCTTGAGGTCCTCGATAATCTTGCAACTGCCAGTTTGATCAATCAATCAAGAACATAGTTTATATATATGAATAAGCTTACGATTTCTGAAAATCGGAATAAAAATCTTTGTACGATTATATATACTTTTTTATTTTATAGAAAAGGGAGGAACAGAATAGGACCAAGCAATGCGATATAGTGTTACCCATTCCACATTCACCACATAGTGCGCCAAACACACTACAAGAAAACAGAGATTTCCTGAGGGGAACGATTTTCCCGTGAGAGTGCAAAGCATACTCTCATGAAAATAATCTTTTTCATGAGGGTGATGTAAATTCGGTCGGGAAAACTCATTTTCGTGAGAGTGCTCCACATGCCGTCATGAAATGAGTTGTTTTTCATGAGAGTGCTCCACGCACCGCCATGAAAATGAATATCGCACCACGAAATTGTCTATTTTCATGACAGCGATCATTTTCATGAGAGGCAACTTGCCCGTCCACGAAATATGGTTTGCTAGTTTTCAGTAGAAAAATAAATTGCTTAAATACTAGAAAATCAAGAACATGAACAAAAGTTTTCTTCTTTTAATCTGCAGCGAATTTTTGTAACTAGTCTTTCTCCGTCGTGCTAACTTGTAAACATACCTAATTTAGTTTAAGGGAGTGCCCAAAGCGTATAAAAACATTCCATCTTGCAACATTTACTTAGGAAATTAAGAGTATCGTGGTTCCATTTTTGCATGCATAGTTATTTGTTTATTAGTTTATTACTACTATTTCTGTCCTGACGATGGTTCGTATTCTAGTAAATCATATTGAAAATGGTAACATTTAATACAGTATAATTCCTGAAATATCAAGGTCAATGTAGTACTGGAAGAAATATGCTAAATATATGCTAAAAGAATTTTGTGGGGAGAAATCTAACAAATTCCTTCCCAAAGAATTCAATAGGAGATTCTTGCAGACTTCTTCTCTGGTGAGCCATGAGCTATCCTTTTTTCTCCGACGAGGACCAACTGTGGCGGACTTGGCTCTGGTTAGGGGTGTTAGGGTTTTGGGGGTATGATGAGAGGTTGGGGTATTTTGTGGCTTCCCGGCTATAGAGTGTTGCTAGGGGAGGCCGCCAGCCTAGCAGAGGCGTGGCCGGTGGCTGAAGGGATGGCTACAGATGTGGTGGAAGGAAGTTGGGCAAAGCCGGTGCCGGCGCTGGCGCCGAGGCTGCCTTTGTTCGAGTAGTTAGGGTTTGCGGCGGTGGAGGTGGCGGTCGCGCTGGCGCTGCTGGAGGTGAGCAGCGATGTACAGGAGGTGGTGGAGCGCAGCATGAAACAACGGCTTCTGTACGGATTTGCTTGGGAGCATGGTAGTGGGGAAAGGGCTTCGGCGGCTTGGTGCCGCCGATGCTAGAGACGGAGGCGGCCGGGGCGAGGAAAAAATGGAGAAAGAAGTGGCAATAGTGGATTGGGTGGCTATGTGGCTACGGGAAGAAAAAGGAAAAAAAGGTAAGGTTGGAGGAGATCCGGACCATAAATTTCATATCCAATGGTTAAGAATCCAACATATCTTTTTCCAACAAAAATCCATCATACGACATGTAAACGGCCGCTTTTCTTAAAGTGAAATGTTGGATATGCATACCACACAAAACACATGCTGACCAGTGAATGCACAACAATGTGTTATGTAACCACATTTAATTTCACGTTTTTATAGTTAAGATTAGAATATATTTTTTAATTCTCACAAAATAATTGCAAAAGTAATAATTTGAATCATTAAAGAAAAACATATATATAAAAGAAAATAATACAGTCACACACACACACACACACACACACACACGCGCAGACGCACACGCGCACACGCACACACACACACCGCTGCCGCGAAGGTCTGTCACCTTCTTCGCCGCTGTTGCTCTGCGGTCCACAGCCATCCCCGCTTTCGCGTGGCTGCTGCTCCTGCAGCGGTGGCCGCGGCAGAGCACTGACACGTTCAGCATCGTCATTGTTGCTCCACGGTCCAAGAACAAAAATGCTGGTATCCTGCTCGTTGTCCTCCTTGTCGCGGCAGAAACGGCGGTGGACACCCCAGCAAACAATGACCATCACCGCGAGGGAGGCGTCGGAGGACACCTGGTTTTTGGTCTCACGTAGCCATGATGACCATGGTGGGATGCCGGAGTCCTGTCCCAGCGGCTCCTGCCAGTTGCCCGCCAAGGGCGCGGTTGCCCACAGGTCGACGAGACGCTGGCATCCTCCCGCTGCAGCCGCAGCCAGTAAGGGCATTCTGGCCATCAATTGATCAGGCAGAGGAAACGGCCACGCAGATTGAGATTGTCATACAGCTTGAGGTCCTCGATAATCTTGCAACTGCCAGTTTGATCAATCAATCAAGAACATAGTTTATATATATGAATAAGCTTACGATTTCTGAAAATCGGAATAAAAATCTTTGTACGATTATATATACTTTTTTATTTTATAGAAAAGGGAGGAACAGAATAGGACCAAGCAATGCGATATAGTGTTACCCATTCCACATTCACCACATAGTGCGCCAAACACACTACAAGAAAACAGAGATTTCCTGAGGGGAACGATTTTCCCGTGAGAGTGCAAAGCATACTCTCATGAAAATAATCTTTTTCATGAGGGTGATGTAAATTCGGTCGGGAAAACTCATTTTCGTGAGAGTGCTCCACATGCCGTCATGAAATGAGTTGTTTTTCATGAGAGTGCTCCACGCACCGCCATGAAAATGAATATCGCACCACGAAATTGTCTATTTTCATGACAGCGATCATTTTCATGAGAGGCAACTTGCCCGTCCACGAAATATGGTTTGCTAGTTTTCAGTAGAAAAATAAATTGCTTAAATACTAGAAAATCAAGAACATGAACAAAAGTTTTCTTCTTTTAATCTGCAGCGAATTTTTGTAACTAGTCTTTCTCCGTCGTGCTAACTTGTAAACATACCTAATTTAGTTTAAGGGAGTGCCCAAAGCGTATAAAAACATTCCATCTTGCAACATTTACTTAGGAAATTAAGAGTATCGTGGTTCCATTTTTGCATGCATAGTTATTTGTTTATTAGTTTATTACTACTATTTCTGTCCTGACGATGGTTCGTATTCTAGTAAATCATATTGAAAATGGTAACATTTAATACAGTATAATTCCTGAAATATCAAGGTCAATGTAGTACTGGAAGAAATATGCTAAATATATGCTAAAAGAATTTTGTGGGGAGAAATCTAACAAATTCCTTCCCAAAGAATTCAATAGGAGATTCTTGCAGACTTCTTCTCTGGTGAGCCATGAGCTATCCTTTTTTCTCCGACGAGGACCAACTGTGGCGGACTTGGCTCTGGTTAGGGGTGTTAGGGTTTTGGGGGTATGATGAGAGGTTGGGGTATTTTGTGGCTTCCCGGCTATAGAGTGTTGCTAGGGGAGGCCGCCAGCCTAGCAGAGGCGTGGCCGGTGGCTGAAGGGATGGCTACAGATGTGGTGGAAGGAAGTTGGGCAAAGCCGGTGCCGGCGCTGGCGCCGAGGCTGCCTTTGTTCGAGTAGTTAGGGTTTGCGGCGGTGGAGGTGGCGGTCGCGCTGGCGCTGCTGGAGGTGAGCAGCGATGTACAGGAGGTGGTGGAGCGCAGCATGAAACAACGGCTTCTGTACGGATTTGCTTGGGAGCATGGTAGTGGGGAAAGGGCTTCGGCGGCTTGGTGCCGCCGATGCTAGAGACGGAGGCGGCCGGGGCGAGGAAAAAATGGAGAAAGAAGTGGCAATAGTGGATTGGGTGGCTATGTGGCTACGGGAAGAAAAAGGAAAAAAAGGTAAGGTTGGAGGAGATCCGGACCATAAATTTCATATCCAATGGTTAAGAATCCAACATATCTTTTTCCAACAAAAATCCATCATACGACATGTAAACGGCCGCTTTTCTTAAAGTGAAATGTTGGATATGCATACCACACAAAACACATCCTGACCACTGAATGCACCACGTGTTATGTAACCACATTTAATTTCATGTTTGTATAGTTAAGATTAGAATATATTTTTAATTGTCACAAAATAATTGGAAAAGTAATAATATGCATCACTAAAGGAAGGAAACATATATAGAAAAGAAAATTGGGACGGACTAGATAACCGTTGACAGATTTATCACCCCAAAATCTGTCAAATTATGGACAAATCAATAGCTGACACGTCAGCCAAGAAAAAATGACAGACTTCATATACAAAATCTGTCAGATTTTGCACATGTTACAAAATAGACAAAAGATCCAAAACCCGTTATATCCAACAATCAAAACATCTATAATAAAGACCTTTAAACGTGGTGATGCCGGTTCCTGTTCACGCTCACTGTTCATCCCCTTTCCCTCTCACAGATCCGCCGACGCTACAGTATGGATCGTGAACAGTACCGCCGCAGCCACGGTTGCTGTTTATCCCCCCCCTTCCCTCTCACAGTACCGCCGCGAGCCACAGCGACGGATCGTGAACAGTGCCTCCCGTGAACAGCACCCGTTACGAACAGTATCCGCCCTAGTTTAGAAGAAATCTGTCTGTCAACGCACCAGCTGCAGCAGGTCCAGCTCCACTCCCAGCCTCAGCAGCAGGAAATAATCATCAGTCAATCAGCTTTGATCTACAAAATGACAAGGAAATAATCATCAGTCAATCAACAAGCACCAGGAAACACCATAATAAGTTGCCCAGAATAGACAGATTTTCAACACACAAGTATAAGTATATTTGTCGAGTGACCCTTTTCATATGCAACCAAATGCTATTACTAATTTTACTATAATATCATCTCATCTAGAAAGAATGATTCCTGATTGCTGAAAGGTTTTGTTTTTCTGACATCGCTTCCAAATTGTTTCTGGTAATACTGCTACCATCGAGAAAAGAAATTTGATACCTCTTGATTCAACATTTTCCAATGATGTGTCAAATCAAAGAGCTATTTTAGAGTTCCGTGTTTGTGTTTGCCTACGGTTCAGGCCCCTAGTACTCCCAACAGTACACATGTGCTTATCCTCCTCTTCTGGGCCCTTCAGCAGAGAACAAGTTCACAAAAGGAATTAACTTTAGAGATGTTCAGTTAACTTTCTGAATGATCAGGGTTGCGATGTGCCAACCTTAATATTGGTTGGATGAGCCAAGTTGTCCTTGAGGAAGCTCTTGAACTCTTGGAAGTTCTCTGTCGTCCGCTAGTGCCGTTGAGAGGCCAAATCACCTGACACACAAAAAAACAAATCTGCCTCACCAAAAAGACATCTAACAAACTGGTTGTTGAAAAAAAGTGAAACTGAATATTTGCTCATACTAGAATGGTAACAGATTGATAGATACCTTCAAAGTTCCATTCTCAACAACCAAGTGGCCCCTATGGCAAGTAAGCTAGCGTGTTAAAATGTTTCCTTTTTCTTCTGCATTTGAAGTTAAAAATTAAAACATGTCCACTCACATGAGTATACCTGAAATGGGCATCTAACTTTTACATTGCAACACACAAAAATAAAAAAGGCAAACCAAATGGTCATACCTACAAACAAGCTTAGATATACCAAAATTCAGAGAGATCTAATCTTTACACATTGAGAGCAAATGACATTCAATTGTCAGAGCCACCATTTTCTCAAAAGCACCTGGGCAAAGATAGAAAATGACGACACTCCAAAAACAGAAATAGGACCACCCAAAAAAAGGCCCACAAAAAAACCAATCTCCATACTCTCTTGGTCCTTGAAAAAGAAAAAAGGCAACAAACAAAAGCAACCAGTACAACAGATCTGCAGATATAATCATAAAGTGCTGCCTACAAAAAACATATAGTTTACCTGAAAAACAAAATGCAGCTAGCAACCACATCAGAGCTAGCAAACACATCTACAAAAATGCCAGCTTCTTAGCAAAATCGCCACCCCAAAAAAAGGTTGACATGACACAGATAATAACCATAAAGATTGATTCAAAAAAACATACACATGTTAAGCAACCACAGATATTCAGTTCGAAGCAACCTCAGCAACTAGAAACCAGTCACACAAAGACACACGCACACACAAACCAAATCTAGCACCCACAAAAAACAAACACAACCACAAAAACAGACACAACCCCACTCACACACATACCCCAAAGCTAGCATACAAATGTACAGAGCTCTAACCTGGGTAAGCAGAGTTTCATCCCTTTTGGTTTCCCTGGTGAACACAAACACACACAGTAAACAATAACACCCACACCCACACCCACAAAGACACACACACACCCAAACAGAGACACACACTAACAAATTAATCAATAGCAGCAAAGCAGCAGCAACTGAAATGTTCAGAAACTGCATTTGCTGCTGCTGCTGATCAGTAGCAGCCCAATCAGCAGCAGCAACTTAAAAAACAACCCATGAAAAAAACAAATAACTTTGGGGCCCTTAAAAGGCAAAATACAAACACAAATAACTGACACATCAAAAAAATTAAGCCGCAAAAACAAACCCAAAATAGAAGCCCAGAAAAACACAAAAGCACAAAAAAATCACACATACACAGAAAAAAACGCACACCCATCCACACACACACAAAAAACGACACACACACACACAAAGAGAGAGAGAGAGAGAGAGAGAGAGAGAGAGAGAGAGGCACAGAAAAAGATACACATGCACCCAAATAGAAAAAGAACACACACAAACACAATCATAAGGCAAAGGACAAAAAAGAACTACAGCTAAAAAAACAAACCTTCAAAGACACAAACACCCAAACACATAAAGAAAGCCCAAACACCCAAAAAAACCCACACGCACACACCAGAAAAAAAAACCTGAAACAACTATAAAACCAGAAGAAAAAAACCTAAAACAGCAGAAATGCAGATCTGCTATAACCAAAACAAAAAAAGAAAAGAAAAAGAAAAATAAAAATAAAACAAAACATCACCACAAAAGAAGAAAAAAAATCAAAAAAGGCCCACAAGAAAAAGCCCATAAAAACTAACAACACATCACCACAAAAATATGACAAAGTTACCAAGTTCAGTGAGTCTATCAGCACAAATGCACAAATATCTCAAAAAAGACCTTTCAGATGTGTACAAGACAAAAAGCATGTAGATATACCGCAGAAAACATTCAGTCAGGCAAATAAAAAGACATCTACAAAAGCATCCGATTTTCTAAAAATAATAAATTGCTCACTCACCTTAATCCTTTGCAAGGTCCTCACCATATTAGGGGTCATCTTAGTTCTCTGGTGCTTCAAAACCTG